TTTTCTAAGTCTGAAATGGAAATTATTGGTACTGTTCCTTCAAAAGCTTTAGTCAAATGCTTCTTAGAAAAATATTAATAAATTTTAGATGTTTTATCGCTGTTTTTTTAATAGTAAAAGTATCTTTTATGGATGTATTTAAACTAGTTTTGGGTTGATTTATTTTCCAAATGCTTCGCAATAAATACAGTCGTTAATTTTTAACTTATCGTTTTTGCATCCTATTAATTCCACTTCACATTTCTAAAAATTTCAGAAATTCAGGAAAATAGAACTGTTTTAAAGGCCATACCATTTGCTAACTGTATGTAAATAAAAAATTTCAATATTTTCATGAAACAATAAGTTACTTTGAAAAATTATAGAATATGCGGGGTTTTTTTTTATAAATAAATTAAATTATTACTGAAATTTTTTTTTTACCTTTCCACATTTTATTTCCAAAGACAACGTTTTTTCTTTAAACTGTATGTTAGTAGCACTTTCAGGTAGGTATTTTACGAGTTGTCGGAATTTCCACTAGATAGCAGCACATTACACTGAGACATCTTATCACCTACATGGGAATCTGGTGGATATCATCTAATAGCTCTCTCTCTACACCAATTTCAAAAATGTGACATAATATTTTATTGCCTGAAGCATTGTATATGGCATTATTTGGCAATATAATTTTATTTCAATCTGAAAACACACGGAGGAAAAATTCTGATAAAATTTTTGTAATAAGGATATTTTTGTTAAAAAGAGCAACATGATTTCGTATGATAAAATATTCGGTAATTTAAACTATTCTTTTGATAATTCTTATTTTTTGGCTTCTACGGAAATGGTTTACCGGAAATTCTAATTTTCAAAATTATAGTTCCTATTACCACACATTTAGTAAGAAACACGAAGCGGAAAAGTAAATTTAATCGTGTATACGATTTTAGGTCCTACTCATAGGTATCATGATAAAATTGCCGAATTTTAGCGCATATTATAAAACCATATTTAATTGTTAATTTCACCGAAATCGTTACTAAAGGGATTCCGTACACATTACCGATCTTTTGCCATATCCAGGTAGTTTTTTTCAGTTGCAGTATGATTGCCCGACAGGAAGTATTGCCTTTGTAAAAATAAAACGTTGTTCGATTTAAATGTAAACAAGATTCCTTTGTAAATAGGCATAAAATCCTCTGTACCAACGAAAAAAAAGTAATTTTGCATTGTCCCGTTTTTATAAAAGAAGTGACCACAAAACAAATTTCTTTCAGCCATAAACTCGTAGTAGACATTACTTTTTTTATTAAGAATTGTATCGGTTTCTTTTTCTTAAAAAAAGAAATTTATTATTTTTATATCGATATAACAGACATTGTCTTGAATATATATACATATATATATATATATATATAACGTCGTTGTCGAGTGGAAAGATTAAAACAGGTCTTAGGCAGGGAAGGAGGGTACAGAATTTGTTTATTAATTATTAGACGGAGAGCAGTCATTAAAGTGCACACGAAAAGTTGTGCTCCTCGATTATATGTTAGGGAAAATCTTGCAAAGTGTCGTTAATAAGTTAAAATAAATAATGCGGACGCCTTTTAAATAAAATCAATCAAATGAACTACAAGTTCTACAGATGAATGACAACAATTATAAAACTTTAATCTTTTAATAACAAATAATTTAGCATCAAAAACGGATTCTAAAAATTATAATTCTAAATTACAACAAAAAAGAACAACAACAAAAACTATCTCAGGTTGCCACGCAACCTAAAGTGAAATATTAAAACAAATAAATCTAAAGAAAATTAAAGGTGGCGCTTCGGTCAAATATACATACGCTAATGACTTAAAATCTTAAACATACTCCCACCTTGCAAAGTGATATTATAAATAGCACTTTGGAACAAACAGTTAGCATTTCTTTAAAATACAAACTAACTCATGTATATTGGTCACCTTTATATGAAACTAATTAAAAAAATATTCAGTCATTATATAAATAACAAAAAGTTCATAAATCTAAACGTTGTGGAATTTTTATGATTCTTCCCAATCTGCCTTTGATAAGAGAATTCACTTCCAAATTATCAGGCACATCAACGGACTTGGGAATATTATCAACTTCCAAGTTAATTTTCTTTGAAGACTTTTCCAGAACATCCATATCGTTCTTTGCTGATAGCTCTAAAGGATAAAGTCTTTGGAAAGGTCGGATCCTTTCTCCTTGAGAGGTTCTTAATCTGGCTACTCTAGGAATACTGTCCTTTCCAGGATAAAGCTCCAAGACAATTCCAAGAGGCCAATCTATGCGTCGAGCATTATCTTGTCCTATTAAAACAATATCACTGATGTTTATTACATCATTCCTTTTTATTCCCTTGTGCACTAGCTGAGCAAGATATTCGTTTCTAAATCTTTGTTTGAGATCTTCACGTAATTTTAGCAAAAATTTTACGCGTTTCAACATAGAGGTTCGATTCACAAGGTTTAGATCGGGAGTTTCGTAGCTGTTGCTACCTTCCCCGTATATAAATGTTGCCGGAGTTAAAGGTACTAATTCAGATGGATTATTGTGAATGTAGGTCAATGGTCTGCTATTTATAACCGATTCACAGTCACATAAAATTGTAGTTAGTTCTTCATAATCTACAACAGATTTACCTAACACACGACGCAGAAGAGTCTTAAGCATTCCAGCTATCCGCTCCCACCATCCACCCCACCATGCTGCTGTGGGTGGAATAAATTTCCAAATTATTTTCTGAGCGGTTGAGTGCGCAGCAATCTTGTCCCAATCTAAATTCTTTAAATAATTGTTTGCTCCTACAAAGTTCTTTCCATTATCCAAGTAAATGACCGATGTTCTACCTCTTCTTGCGATAAATCGTCTGAATGCTTGAATGAAAGCATCTGTAGTGAGAGATCGTACTAATTCATAGTGAACTGCTCGGTACACAGCACAGGTAAACAAAACGATCCAAGCTTTTTCATTCGATTTTCAATACAGAGGACCGGCATAGTCCACACCAGACACTTGGAAAACTTTTGTCTGAGTAACTCTTTCTCTTGGAAGGGGAGCAAAAGGAACTTCTACTGGTTTAGCTTGATGACGCTTACAAGTCACACACTTGGAAATAACTTTATTTACTAATTTTTTAGCTTTAAGAATCCAGTATCGCTCTCTGAGTCTTGAGAGTAAGATGGAACCATCGCTTTTATATGCTCTTCACGGATTAATTCTAACACAACACTGTTAGCAGGTTAAAGGATTGGACATCTGAAATTCTCATTCTCATCACTATGTACCAGTTTGGTCTTTACTCTCAGAATATCACTTTTATCTCGAAAAGCTTGTATTTTGGCGAGAAATTTATCATCTTGGAAATGCGTTGTTTGCATTGACTTAAAAAATCACACTTTTTGCCTTTGTTAACTCCTCACAGATTAAACTTCCCTTTAACTTATCATGATGTGAAACGTTGTGGACAAAACGTAGGATCCAAGCGACTACTCTTACATTTCTGCTATATGTTGAAAAGTAATTACACCATATTTCCGTTACTTCAATATTTACCATGGAAATTACTACTTGTTTTCTTTTTTCCAAATTTACTTCCTCTTTATTAACGGAAATTTCGTCAGCTGCTGCAGGCCATTGCGTGTGGGAAAGATATAGCCAGCTGGGCCCTCCCACCACTTCGAATTGCCAAGTTGTTGAGCAGAGCAACCTCTACTTGGTAAGTCTGCGGGATTCATAGATCCGGGAAAATGCCTCCATGCTTTTACTGGAGTCAATTTCCTGATTTCTTGAACTCGATTTTCCACAAATACACCCCATGTGTCTTCTCTTTTAAGCCAAGCTAATACAGTTGTTGAGTCTGTCCAGAAATGAACTTTGTCCGCCTGAAACTGTTTTACTATTTCAATAGATAGACGAGCTGCAATTGTGGCACCAAGAAGTTCAAGTCGAGCAATCGTGGTTTCCTTTTTCCCACTAGGTGCGATTCCTGCTTCACTCTGCATCAGGTGAACTTGAACATTGCTTTCATCTTCTATTCTCAAGAAAACTACTGTGGAATACGCAAATTTACTGTCATCACAAAAGAACTGTAATGAAATGCTCTCGTAACCTTTGTCACAATGTAATCACCTTGGGATTTCTATGTGCTTCAGATATTCAAGCTGACTTAGCCACTTTGTAAAATCTTCTCGTGTTTTTGTGTCAACTTCATCGTCCCAACCAATTTTAGCTTTCCATAAATTTTGTAATCATAATTTTGTTCGAAACGATACCGGGCTAGCTATCCCCATAGGATCAAAAACTCTGTGTGAGGCAGCTAAAATGCTTCTTTTGGTGATTGTTTCATGTTTTGTGCCTTTCATATCAGGAATATTAATTAACAGAGTATCACTTTGTCTATTCCACTTCATTCCCAGAATATTGGTCTCACTAGAATTAGGTTCTGATGGGTTAGTAGACTCCCACCCTCGTAAATCAAATTGTCTTTCAGCCATAATATTAGTAGCAACTTCTATGAATTGTTTCAGCTCTGATTCAGTTTTCACGCTTGTGAGGCAATTATCTACATAAAAACTGCATATTAGTTCCTGTATAATCTCTTTAGGGTATTTTTCATTCCCTCCCATTGCTTCTTCTAGTTTATTATTCAAATGGTATTGAATAGTGGCTCCTAGCAAAAACGGACTACAAGAAACGCCAAACACAACTCTTCGATGACGAAAATGTTTCAGCTGTCCATCTTCTCCATACCATAAGAATCGCAAGAAATTTCTATCATTTTCATAAGGACTTATTTGCAAAAAAGCCTTACGTATATCAGCTGTTACACCAAATTGATATCTTCGAAATTTATTTATTATTAAGGGAATTACTTTTTACCTTTTTTCTACACAATCATTTAAACTAGGAACTCCATTTCTCTTAGATGAAGCATTGAACACGGGCCTGATTTTAGTTGTGCTGCTCTCCTTTATCACAGGTCAATGAGGTAAGTAGTGACAAGGTATTCCCATGTCTTCTTTTGGAACCTCTTCAATTATTTCCTCTTTCTCCCAGTCCTTGAACACTTCTTCATAGGCATCATACAATTTGTCGGTTTTCAACTTGCGTGTTGTCATTTGCAATCTCTTTAACGCCAAATCATAATTATCTGGCAAAGGCAAATGCCCATCAAGCAATGGCAGACTAACTATAAAACGGCCATCTCTTTCAACTTTCACTGTACTTAAGAAATGCTGCATTGAGGCTTCTTGCAGTTCCTCTCTAGATTTTTGTTCTGAAGGATCTTTTATTCCTGAAGAATCTAATCTCCATAGCTCAGAAATATCCATTTCTTTTACTAAAAGGGAAGTAACCAACATTGCGTTGCTTGACGGTAAATCATATTCAGCTGCTTTCCCTGTTAAAGTCCATCCCAGTAGTGTCTCTATTGCAACTAATCCGCTGGCCAAAACTCTTCTTTTTCCAGTCATAAGTTTTCCTATTACGTCAGCTCCAAGCAGAATTTGAACTGGTTGTGACTCATTTTCGACGTCTGATAACTTTATATTCATTTCTTCAAGCTCTTTTAACCAGGGTCCAAAGCTAACAGGTGTTATAGTATCACAAATAGATGCTTGATCTAAAGCTTCCATGTTACAAGTCAAGTTATTCTCTGGATTCCTTAATCTAATTCTATAACACGTGTGTTCAAATTTATCTGATTTATGACCACCAAACAAAGAGTGTATGAGAGTTTCTTTTCTCAAGGGAACATATTCCATCTTTTCAGCCGAATTTTTTAAAATATATGTTCTTTGTGATCCAGAATCTATAACTGCTCTCATCACAATTTCTTTCCTATCAGATATCAGCTTTAGTTTCATAGTTTGAAGGAACACTTTCGGACCGTACGTGATGTTGGACATGTTTATTTCAGAACTTTCACTTTTCTGCTTAGATTTATCGGGTTCACGATTTTTTGCAGCTAAAGATTCACACATTAGTACCACATGTCTTTTACCGCATATGACACATTTTATAAAAGCTTTGCACTTACGAACTGGATGCCCTTGCATTAAACATTCAAAACAGCATTGACTTTCTCTTAATATGTTCTCTCTTTCAGTTAAAGTCATATTTCGAGCGGAAAAGCAATCTGAACTTTTATGTTTCCCTGAACAAAACACACACCCTTTCTTCAAATCTTTTACATCTGTGTTCAATAGATTTGCCGCTGTTGGAAATCTTTTTGTTGGCAAATCTCTTGCTTTCTTTTTAAAGGACTGGCGTTTTTCATCTGATCCCCAGCCAAAACCTGACATGGTCAAATTAATTCTTTCTTCACCTTCCGTTTCTGCCTTCAGAAAAGCCGTGATGTTTGTTAATCGCTCTTTGGCGTCAACTGAAGCAACGCGCGAAGAACTGCGGTTCCAGGCTTTTAGAAACTCTTCTTGGAAACAAGATTCTACCATAGGGAATAGTATTGAAGCGCATTTCTCGTTCGTAACACTTAACGTTTCTAAAGCTCTAAGATATGACTCTAGTTTGTCATAAAGGGATATCTTTTCATGATTTTGAACGGAAACTATGAGCTTCAACAATTCCCTAACATAAACTTCGACCGAAAGGTCATCCTTGCCAAATCGGGCTTTGAGGCTATCTACTGCTTTGGTATAGTTTGCAGCTGTTGGAGGAAAGCTTTCCACAACTTCTCTAGCTCTAGATCCAACAGTTGTAGCCTGAATCAGGTATTGAAATTTTTTTTCAGGGGCAATATCTGTATCGTTATTAATTTGTTCAAATTGTCCCTAGAATGGTAGCCAATCTTTTAAATCTCCACTAAATTGCCTAAGTTCTAATTTTGGCAAATTAAACTGCTTTCTGGCACTGGCACTAATAATATTTGGCGGAGACTCACCGGTTCTTTGCGATGTAGCTTGAAGTCTCGCCAACTCCAGTTCATGTTTTCTTATATTTTCTCTCTCTTCATATTCTCTTTGTCTCTCTTTTTCTTCATATTCCTCCTTTTGTCGTCGATCATTGACTGTAGCTACCAATACACTTGTTACAAAATCTGGAACAGATAAATATTCTTTACTTTTCAAAATGATTGTTTTCAGATCCGCTACAGTAGCTTTTTGAGGTAATACTTCCCCAATTTCTTGGGCAACAATAATAAGATCCTCCTTTTTAAATCCTTTTGATGCTAAAAACATTTTTTAAATCAGAAGTAGCGTATCAACCATCCTGTTACGGACGCCACAAAATGTCGTTAATAAGTTAAAATAAATAATGCGGACGTCTTTTAAATAAAATCAATCAAATGAACTACAAGTTCTACAGATGAATGACAACAAATATAAAACTTTAATCTCTTAATAACTAATAATTTAGCATCAAAAACGGATTCTAAAAATTATAATTCTAAATTACAAAAAAAAGAACAACAACAAAAACTATCTCAGGTTGCCACGCAACCCAAAGTGAAATTTTAAAACAAATAAATCTGAAGAAAATTAAAGGTGGCGCTTCTGTCAAATATACATACGTTAATGACTTAAAATCTTAAACACAAAGTAAATCCGTAAAATGTTTCAATTGGGTATAATATGAAAAAAACACAACTAATTCGATTTAGTAGAAACAACATATGACGCAATGCTAAACGAATGGAATTTAGTTGTTGTTTATTTAGTCATTGTTATTAGTAGTTGTTGTTATTTGTTTTAGTTGTTGTTGTTTATTTAGTTGTATTTAGTTTCAATAACTTTTCTTTATAATGCAATAAAATCTGGCGAGCAGCTATTTAAACGATCGAACACTTCGTTTATTTATTTGTGGCTTGAAGTTAGGCTCGCAGAAAATGCCGTTCATGGGTTAAATTTAGTAGGAACAACACAACCTGTGACGTAGGCTATGTTATACCCAATTTAGGGAACGAGGGAAATCTTAGTAATTATAATTGGTTTATTAAATGGGTCGCGCGATTCCCACAAAGAGCAAAGGGAAAAAATATGTTGCTTTTAATTAATGCATACTTGAGCCAAAAATAGATTTAAGAACAGGATGTGAATTTAAAAATGTGAGAATGCATTTCGATTAGAATAATAAAATAAAATAAAAGGATTTACAGAAAAGAGCTCATATGAAAAGATTAATTGAAGTTTTTTATGTTACATATGTATAATAAGATTGGGGGCTATATTAATTCCACATGCTTTGGAAATGTCATGCTATAGCGTCCAATAAAACAAATATTAATTGTTTAACCTATGTTATTCAATGAATAATATATTCAATGTTAATAATCCATACCTTAGACGATTTAAGCAAGACAACAATCTCTTCCTTCTTCGTATTAATGTGTCTTTCTTAGGATTATATTATCGGTGAATATAATCCAAAAGTTATATTTTTTTAAAAAAAATGTAACATCAGGATTGATGACAAAATTTTTTTAAAAGCAACCAGACTTTTGATATCGAGAAATACACGTACAGTACAGTCTTTAAGTTAGGTAATGGTTACAATTGGGTACTTGCATTTCAGGAAGAAGATGAAATATGCCCACACATGTGACCTAAGATGTCAGATCCGGCTGATCGTTTGTAAGGAAAATGGCTTGTTAAAGTTGAGCTAAACTTCGCCACACATGTTAAAATGTTAGTTAAAGTGAAGTTAATTAAATACAGCCCCGTATCCCTCATCGAATATGTTGAAATATAATTCTTTCTCGTCTGCATCTTTTACTTAGCTTCGATACATTATTTGTTTATGCATTTTATCTTAACTGCGATATATTTTTGTTTTGTGTACCTCGCAACATCAAAACTAATTTGCTTATGTTCTACGCGACTTCGTACCGATTAGAAATATAAGGAGAAAGAATTGAAATCTTTATGTTGGATTGGACAGTATAGTAATATTAGATAGCAGTAGTATTGGATAGAAATTTTTGTGAAGGAACATGTCGCTTAAGAGAATTGCTACTTGACGGGCTTGGCTTTCTCCAAATAGAATGAAAAGAATAGTTGCTAACGTAAACAAATGGCACTTTTCAACAACCAATCAGGATCGAGATCTCTAAGTTACGTCACTTGCAGGTATCTCATTCCAAAAAAGAAGTCTACTTTAAAGTTATTGTTTAAATTTTAATTATGTGTTTCATTTTAAACCTAACAAAAATTTTTAAAAACTAAGTTTAACTCATACTATATGAATTTGTGTTTTTTATACACGAATAATAAATGAAAGTATATACATATATATATATATACAAGAGAAATATTTAAATAATTTTATCTATTATTTTATTTTCTGTTAAATGATTTCTTTAAAAATATGCACAAATCTTATTACGTAATTCACAATATTTAATAAAATTGTCCTATAGTAATTGTTTCTTAATATTTAATCGAGTATTGTGCAACTGAATTAAATTGCAACATTTAATTTTATTTAAAGTAATGCAAGCCACTGTCATCAAACCCTTAAACTTTCGATGAAGAGTGAGTTCAATTTATGTGCATTTTAATCACTGTCTGGTTGATAAGGGTGAGTGCCTGGAGGAGGGTCACTTTATTTGGAAAGAACTATAGTTCCAAGATAGAAGCAGCTGTCGTTGGAACTACCCTCCCCCTAATGGTCAGTATGCGATGCGTTGAAGACAAGGTGCAATGTTACACACCTCCCATCTTCTGTATCCCGATAATCAATTGCTTCAGAGATATTGGATAATGTTTGCCAGGAATAAATAGAAACTGAGGTTCCTTATTGTCTAAAGTGTTGCCCTGAGAGAATTATTTGCTGAGATTAAAATTTGGACTGTAATGCTTTCGTTTTAATTTCTTGGGCGTTCTTGAAACATGTGTATTTTGTTATAGTTTGCGCAACACAGAATGTTCCTGTTGTGCTGTGAAGATAATATTTTATTTTTCTAACTACTATGAGTTTGTAACAGTTATTTATGATTGTTAGATTAATTTTGTTGTTCTTCAAATAGCGTCCTTAGCCTAAAAATGGCGTAAAATGATAATAAGCAGAAAATTCAAAGTTTTTTGAAAATGAAAAATGTATGAGCTCTGATGCTTCAATGAATGGAATGTCATACTCCTACGCTGTTTTTTTTTTTTTTTTTTTTTTTTTTTTTTTTTTTTTGGACTGAAAGGCAAATATTTCAAATATAATGAAATATTGATTTTTATAATTTCCATTGATGGTTAAAAGTTTTTCCCAAAAATGGCTTGGTTTAAGTACAATTATTTTTTTGTAAAAATTAAGTTATTCGTCTGTTAAAGTTGAGACAATTTTTTCTGTGAGATAATATAGGGTGAATTGAAGTAGGATAAGTATACGAAAAAAATGGTTAAACCCTCAAAACGTCAATTTGACTCTTCATGGAACAAAAAAAATTATTCTATTGCAATAATCACTCCCAAGAAATACATTTAGCGCATGTTTTATTTAATATTACGATTCAGAACAAAATGCATGTAGAATTTTGTTTTGCATTTTTTGATGACGAGGTAACCTACAAATTTTTTAAGTTGGTATAAGAATTTAACAACGAAACTAACTTGATTTGCGGTCAACTATTGAAGTCTAACTATTGACAATCTGATTATTTAGAATGACAGTTCAAGATAAAGCTATGAAATAAATTTTTTCTTTGCCAATTTAACACATTATTGAGTTTTTCGGAAGAAAATTTTATTTTTTTTTCCAACAGAAGACTTAATTTTAGTTTTTTCACAACCAACTTCACATTTAATTCGTATAATCATTATAAATTTTAGAAGCTGATATAGGAAGGCGTACTTGTAAAAAAGTTCGGTAGATTCTACGCAGTAGTTTTTGGTTGGCAACCCCGTAACGAAGCAGTAACCCATTTTAGGCTTGAAACAGGCCACGATTACTTATCAGAACATTTATATAACATAAAAATTCTTCCCAGCAAAGCATGTCCAATTTGTGGCACAGGTATATTAAACTCTGATCACCTCTTGTTGTGCAAGGGTGATTAGTGACTTTCCCACTTTTCTGGGAGTTAGGAACTCCCAGAAAAGTGGGAATGTCACTAAATTGTATTGGGACGCAAGAATTCTCATGAATTGTCACTTACTATACCTTTTTCACATTAATGTTTAAAATTTTATATTGTTGAAATGTTTATTGATTCAAATGCTTATTGTTCTTTTTTGTTGTTGTTCACTTTACATAAATTATTGAATTGTTTCTTTGTTATTTTTCTGCTCCTTTGTGATGTAGTGAGCTGTCAAATTTTCTGAATTGAATTCCTAATAAAGACATATGAAACACAGTTTTTGGTTGGTGCCCATTCATATATCGAAGATGAAAAGCAGCACTTTAGCCATATTTTACTTTTTTTATGGTCTAAAAAGTAAAAATGGCGTCCAAGCACGAAAAAGAATTATCTGATGTGTTTGGAGAAGATTTACGCTAGTGCCAAAACTGGTTTGCGAAATTTCAATTCCGCAAAATTCCTATTAAGATACACTACGTAAGATTAGGTCGATGAAGATACAATAAAGGCATTAATTTTATTTTATACCCGTCGTGGTCCGTTAATATATATATATAACTATAATATAGTATATATATATAAACGTTATATNTTAATGAACCATTACTATTTATAAGTTAAATATTAATGATAATGAGTAATGAATGCTTAACAATCATTAATTTCTTCATTAGTAGTTTCCATGTATCTTAGTAAAATAAAACATAATCGAATTACGAAGAAAAACACAAAATGATAACATGAAGAACACATTATTCAAAGCATTAATATTTACATGTTAAATAATAAGGGCAATGAATAGTGAATGCTGAACAATCATTAATTTCTTTATTAATTGCTTCCTTAACATGTTATTTATCTTAGTAAAATAAAATATAATCGAATTACGATGAAAAACACATAATGGCACTTGTTTACATGCACTTTATCGGTTCTCGAAAATGGTCACATTCTTTTCGAGTCCTAATTCATCCCTTCTCGAAGAAATTTCTTGATTTCATTAATTCTGAGAACAACTATTTTTCTATTGAAAGAAAATAAGTTACTCGTTTATCTTAGAAAAATCTTTCTTTGTCTTTGATCATGAAATCGCTTTTCTACGATTGCGTCAGCATCAATTGGTTTATTGAATAGGTATATCTTTTTTCTAGCATTGGCAGTACTAACTGATTT